ATGCCTTAGCACGAATTATGTAAAGTTCATAAATCCCTTGCCCGAATTATCCAAGTTCACCATGCCTTTGCGCGAATTGTCTAAGTTCATCATGCCTTAGTGTGAATTATCTAAAGTTCATAATGCCTTTGGCGCAACTGTTGGAGGTATGACTTGTGGACCGGCCTTGGGATCTCCGGGTCTCGCGCGGGGTCTGCGCTGTCCGCGTGCGGGTCGCGTTCGGGCGCTGGCGTGCGTGCTCGCGTGGTCGACTGGTCGCCGGGCGTGCTCGCGCAGTCTGGCGCGTCGCGCTGGGCGTGCGTCTGCGGGAATGGGCGATCGAGGTCCCGCGGTCGTCACGAGCGCTCGAGGTTGCGCGGTCTCTCGGGCACGCGGGTCGCGCGGTCTCTCTCGGGCACGCGGGTCGCGCGGTCGGCACGGGCGCTCGAGGTTGCGCGGTCTCTCTCGGGCACGCGGGTCGCGCGGTCGGCACGGGCGCTCGAGGTTGCGCGGTCTCTCTCGGGCACGCGGGTCGCGCGGTCGGCACGGGCGCTCGGGGTCGCGCGGTCTCTTCGTGCACGCGGGTCGCGCGGTCGGCACGGGCGCTCGAGGTCGCGCGGGTGCCATCGCGCTGTCTCTTCGGGCGGGTGCGCGCGCGCGCGCTTGCTGGCACGCGGGACGCACGGACGGCATGGGCGTTGTCGAGATCCCGGTCGAAGTTGAGCCTAACTACGTGTGGAATCGAGGCTAATCAGTGTGGAAATGTTGTCGGTTAATAACGTACGGCCTAACTTGTATGGAACGATGTCCGGGAATCGGACATTACTAGATGTTGGATTATGACCAACCTGTCGGACTAAACTCGATTGAGTCGGTTGGTTGAAAATGTTCGTTCTCAAGAAATCGTTCCACGGATTGTTGTGTTCGTTTCCATTTTTTTTCCTTATTTTACAATTTTTTTGTACTTTTTTATGATCTTTTTGTATTTTTTAAGTATTTTAATCATAAATATTAATTAAATATTCAATTACCAAAATTAATATTTCATATTCATATTTCCATAATATTCACTTTTATAATTTTTTTAGGAATTTTTAGATTTATTTATGATTTTTTTGAATTTTTCTTTATTTTTATAATATTTTAATCATATAAATTATTTAAAAATTCAAAATAATATTCTTTTTATATTTACATAATTTCCACATCATAAATAATCATTTTTCACCTAATTATATATTTTCCACCTCATTTTATTTACATTTAAAGGGTTGTGTAAATCTCAGCTTTTCAATATCTAGTGGCTCCACTGGTAAACCCGCCAAAAACCCCTTTATAGGGGGTAAGGTGTTCTGTGAGGGTACTCAAGGTGCAACGGCCGCTTGCTCGCAAGCCGCCTAGGACCCCTGTTGCACTTCTAGGGTGCGGGATCATGGGTTTCTAGTGCAATTCGGCGAGATAATCTGATGCCGTAGTAGTTATATTCGAAATGCTCGGTGAGATAATGAATCGCTGCTGCGGCTATAATGTGAATTGTCAGTTGTTGCTAGGGACCCATGATAACGCGTGCTTTGGGCACAATTCATTGTCGGATTCAGTGATGATTGAGGCGAGATAATCTGATGCCGTAGTAGCTATGTTCGGAATTGTCGGGTCGCTTGCGGCTCGGTGAGATAATGTGATGCTGCTACGGCTATAATGTGAATCGTCCTTTCACCACTGAACCGATATATGACGCGTGCCAGTACCAGCCATTCTCCCATGCCAGCGGCAACCGTGGCGAGATAATCTGATGCTGTAGTAGCTATATTCGGAATTGTCGGGTCGCTTGCGGCCCGGTAAGATAAAGTGATGCTGCTACGGCTATACTGTGAATTGTCCGGTTGTTGCTGACCCGATGAGAAGGCGAGGGCACCATCCAACGCATGTATCGGCCGTATGACCCACGCCCCACGTTGGGAGCTTGGTGATGGTCGTCGTGCGGTGAAAGGCCTTATGAATTGACGGATGTTCTTCGTGCCTAGCGGGGCGTGTTTGAGTGCGTCGGGTGTTGGTCGTTGCAATGCTGCGATTAATGCTTGCGTACTTGGGCACAGCGTACGTTGGGGCGCGTGAGTGGCATATGTTTTGTGCGTGCTCGTCGGTTCCCTGCTTGTGCAGCGGCGACTTGTCACCCGAACTTAGGTCGGTTGTCCCTAACGGTTGTCCCGAACAGTTGTTGGTTGCGATGCG